TCATTGGCCTGGGGGCATCCTGACTGGGCCTCTCCTGCTTCACATGGACATGGTCTGTTTTGGTCTCTCTCCCCTCTGTAAGGACACCTCACATTGGCTTCACAGCCCACCCTAACCCCAGGATGACCTCATCTTGGCATCCTTGACTTCATTACATCTGCAAAGATCCTTTTCCAAGTCATATTCCAGGGGTAAAGATTAGTCTGCATCGTTGGGRGGACACAGTCCGACCTACTACAGATGTGGGGATGGCCAAGCTCCCAGAGTAGGCATGGGACAGACACAAGCCTCCCYCCCAGGAGCCCAGCTGGTCTCCCCACCCCAGACCTGGGGAGAACCAAGCTGGACACCGAGTGCCAGGGGACGTGACTCCGGGGAAGTCTCTGGGGATGGATCCGCTCTTGGTTCTGGGCTCCGTGTGTGGAATGGGAACCTGGTGGGAGAATTTCTGTGTGCAGCAGTTTGCTCTGGATCTCGGGGGTTCCCAGTTTGGCACTGACAGTGCTGTTGGTGACCCGGCCTCCCTGTCACCCTTTGCCTGGGCTRGGCTGGAGCTCGGCCAGGGAGAGGAGGCCGTGGATGAGCAGTTCCTGCTCAGCCAGTGGACGACGAACCTGATGCCTTGTGGGCTCAGTGACAGTCCCTGGCAGTTGGAGCTGATGTGACTTGGCCCGTTGACAGCAGGAATCTCAGCCATAGAGCAAAGCCTGGTGCAGGGCCTGCTCAGTGGTTCTGCCCAGCTCCCGCCTTGGCAAAACCCACATGTCCTCAGGCGGCTACCTGCCTCAACCCGATTCCTGCAGCCTGCGCAGAGCAGGTGTCCACCGGCTTGGTCACTGAAGACTCTTGGAGTGCCAGGTCCTGCCCTCCCAGCTTCAGGGGCTCCTGCTCTGACTTCTGGACCTTGCTCAAGGGCAAGGGGCTGCAGCCTTTGGCCTCTTTCAGATTCCCGTTGGTTGGAGATTCTTGTTCTGCAGACCCCTCCCCCAGGGTCCTCCAGCCAGCCTCCCAGAGGGCCTCCTGCACTTTGCCTGCCTGGCCTCCCGGAGGRAGAGGGGGCCCTGGCAGGGCTGGGGTGTTCCTGGAAAGTAGCATTTTAGGAGCTTCTGCAGCCGAGGTGGCCCTTTGGTGCTCATCACTGCCAGGCGTGTGGGAAGGGCCGGCTCCTATTCGTCTTCACCGCCACTCGCTGGGCTTGGGCATGAGGGATCCTCCCCGTGGTTTGTCACTCTGCCAAGAAAATTGGGGTGTTTTTTTTGGCAATTGTGCCTGTGTTCATGTCAAGCCATGTGTTTCCCAAGCACTTGAACTTGTGGGTTGCCGCTGGGGACAGATGGTATCTTGGGCGCWGACCTAGACCCCAGCCACTCCATCCAGTGTGCTGGGTCCTGAGCTCACGGCTGCAGAGGGGGAGSAAGGGAAGRCCRCAAGCTGGAGAGTCGCAGGGTTGGGAAAACAACAACCAAGCTTTATTGAATTCTGTGCCAGGCACCAGGCTGAGCACCCCACAGGCATCTCACCGAGTTGTCACAGCAACTTACTAAACAGATTTCCCGCTATCACCGACTGTTAATTTATTGCACAGGTAACGATTTCCCSTTATCACYGACTGTTAATTTATTGCACAGGGGTACTGCGGTCTCCCTGTCCCTGTTCCTTTGATGGACACCTGTACTGACTCTGAGCTCTTATTATAAGTAAAGCTTCTATGGTCATCGACGCACAAGTCTCTCGTGGACACCTACTTTGATTTCTCTTGCGGACACATCTAGGAGTGGGATGGCTGGGCCACACAGTAGGCGCGTGTTCAGGTTTCTATAGAGATTGTTTTAAATGCCATATCTTCTCCCAAAGGGATCGTAGAGTGTACATTTTCCCCAGGATCAGCAAGGCTCCCCGTGGGCTCCCACCAGCTCCGACACGTGGTGGTGTCGGTCTTGGATTCTTCCTGCTCTAGTGGTCCAGCCCAGGCGTCCCCTGTCGCCTGAGGTTTTCATTTGCATGTCCCTGCTGACTGAGGGTGTGGGGCACTCTGTCACCTGCTTACTGGGCCATCTGTCTTTTTCTTTGAGGAATCTGTTTGCATCTTTGCAACCCCCTCCCCGTCTTTTTAAACCTATTTGCTGGTTCTCTGATRTGTGTTTTGCAAATATTTCCTCCCACTTTCACGGGAAGAAGCYGTGAGCGTCGGGGCAGCCTCTTACCTACTTTCCCTTCTGTGGTCATTGCTGTCTCGACCATCCCTTTGCCTACCTGGTGGACAGGATCTAGAGGCCCTGCCGGCCCTGCAGGTGGACAGAGGAGTTGGAGGAGGGGCAGGTGGGGCAGCGCAGGCTTCGTGGGGGGGGGGGTGGGGGTGGAGAGCAGCCCCTGGAGAGGGAGGGGTCTTAGAAAAAGAAAGCCTTAAGTATTAGGGGCCTGGCCTGGATTCCTGGCAGTGGAAGCTCTTTGTGCAGGGAGTGTGAAGGCCTAGCCCCCATGACTCACTTTGGAACCTGGGACAGGATTTCCATTTGGTCACCCTGAGAGCAGTGGCCTCCGGATGCAGATGGGGACCGCGGGGAGAGCGAGCAATTTCGTCTCTGTGGGTCCTCCAAGACTCGCCAGGCCCCTGCACATCTCATTTCTTCTTCCCCAGGAAGCCCAAAGGCAGCGGTGACCCCAGCCCTTCCTTCCTTTGGCCCTGGGAAAATGGCTCCCGTGTGTGAACTCGGAGCCCTTGCTCCCGGGGGGGGGGGGGGGGGGGGGGGGGGGCAGCATCCCCAGGGGCCTGGCTCTGACTCACTCCAGCCTCTAGAAGAGGAGACTTCAGCCCGAGGGTTGGGAAAATAATAGCTAAATAAAATCACACCTGCTCCTCCTGGAGCAGCTCAAGGCAGGAGTGAATGAGAGGCCACCCTCATTTCTCCAGAGCCCATCTGATGGCAGTGGGCGCCCAACCAATGGGGGGACCATCCAGCCCACCTACCCAGATGAGGAAACTGAGGCCGTGAGGGGGCAGGACTGGGTCAGGGGCAGAGGGAGTGGGAGCAGCTCGGGCTGACTCCCAGCCGCATGGAGGGTCCTCCCTGGCCCCACCTGGATGTTCCAGGAGGATTGTCAAGTCTTCTGGTGCCGGAAGACATTGCCATGTTTCCAAGTGGGTTTAGAGGATCGGGTCAGCCCTGAATACTTCTTTGCTGAGTAATTTGGGCCCCACCATCCCCGCTTCCTTCCCAGAGAGGATGCTGGGACTGGAAAGTAACACCTCATTATAAGTCAGCCTCCCTGGCTTGAGCTCCAGATGACACAGCTGGTCCCCAATGCCACAGGCTGAGACGTCCACAGGGCTGCCCTCCCCACCGTCTCCTGGTCCCACTTCCTGCCACTTCCCAGGACATGCGGGCCCTCCTGGCAGCCTGGCCCAACTCTGCCCAGGCTGTAGGCGGTGAGCAGAGGGTGACCCACRCACGGTGGCTGCACAGCAGCCCCTSGGGTCCTGGGAGGGGAGGCCGAGGAGGGAGCCTCGTCACACTCTGCCGAGGCTGCTCCAGGACTTCGCCCTGAACCTCACACGTCTCTCCTCTTGACGCTCCTTCCCAGTCAGGTCCYGGCAAGACCTGGGTCCACACAGAGCCCAGCTGTAGAACCCAGCTCCCCGCCTCCCCCCTGTGGGCACCTCCYCCCCCATCAGCCCTTCACCCTAACCCTGCCTCCCCTGCCCCCCAGGAGGGCTTCCACCTTCCTGGGTCCTTTAAAGGGCCCATCCTGGCCTCACCCTCTCCCCTTGCCAAATGGCTCCTCCCGCCAAATGTCCTGGATGCTTCCAGAAGGAATGTCAACACTGCTCACCGCTACCCCTGAGCAACACGTCAGAGACACAGGGCAAACTGGGAAGCACCGCCCCCTCTTCCCAGCCTCGTGAGTGCCCTCCTCTGTCTGAGTGGGCTTTCCACCCCGGATGGTGCCCAAGAGACTCGGGTCCCTAGGTACAGTGTGCAGGAGCTCCCGGCCACCCACCTCGGGGTTTGAGGCACCGATGTATGGCTCGTCCCTCCCTGGAGTCAAAACTGGCTGTGCACATTGGGCAGCGTGGGAGTGGGGTGCTGGGGCGGGTCCAGGGTCTCCTAAACCCGGCAGGATGACGGGYGTGGGCAGGGCCTGTTCCCCAGCAGGCCCCCTGTGTGGCTGGGCCATTTTGRGGGGTCTGTGATCCTCTTCCTTTCCTTACCCTGTGTTAACACATCCTCATCCTGGAGGGGAGGACATGCTGACAGGGAGGTGCACAAAGGAACCTTCTAGAAATGTTCTGTATTGGCACTGTTCTACAGAAATATAATGCAAACCACATAGTAATTTAAAATTTTCTTGTACAAAAGAAACTGGTAAAATGAATGATGCTTTATCTAACCCAACATACCTAAAACATCATTTCAAGATGTGATAATATAAAATATTGTTAATGAGCTACTCTTTTCTGCACATTAAGTCTTTGAATTTGTGCATATTTCACACTCACAGCCTGTCCCCCATGGACCGGCCGCTTTCAAGAGCTCCATGACTACCTGTGTTAAGTGGCTGTGTCATTGGACAGCACGGGTCTCTCCCTGGTCTTCGGGAAGGACAGAGGTGGGGCGTGTGCCCAAAGCAGGCCAGCCATGTGCTATGCATTTTACTGCCCAGAAAGTTGCTCTTAGTTACAAGCATTTGAATGGGCTGGGCTGTCACTCAGTGGCCGAGCCTGGCACCCCCAGCTCTGGGTTCTCAGACGCCCCCTGTGCTTTCCAGAGCCCACCTGGGTATGCGAGCTCCWGTCATGTTCCCCCTCCTTGTGCCGGGGCCGGCTGTCACAGGGCTGTATGTCTCACCCACTTTGTCACAAGCTCCTGAAGTAGAGACCATGGTCTGCTCCTTTGGTAMCTCCCCAAAGGTCCCCGGCCACGGCGATGCTAAACGAGCCCGTTTGCTGTCCGCCGCGTGGCTGGGCTGCGGGATCTTGACCGTTTGCCTCTCTTTCTCAGTCCTGCTACAGAGGCTGGCAAAGGAGAGGACGAGGAGAAGGAGGACCGCGTGGGGCTCGGTCTGCCAGCGGCCCCCAAGAACTGCCTTCCGCGCCGGGGCATCAGCGTCCTGGAAAAGCTGGTCAAGACGTGCCCCGTGTGGCTGCAGCTGGGGCTGGCCAGGTCAGAGGCAGCCAGGATCCTGCACCGGGAGGTGGCGGGGGTGAGTCTGGTCCCACCTCGTGGGCTGGTGGGGGGGACACCGGTGCCAGGGCCCCGGAGGCCCTGCCTGGAAGCAGCTGGGCGAGTGGCTACCCTCTGCTGCCCTTCAAGCTGCTGCGCCCAGACTCAGGGGTAGGGACTTGATTCTGCTCTGGGGAGCAGGGCCTGGTGCCCGGCCTGGCCTCTGGGCATTCAGAACCCGGGAGGCAGGGCCGGTGCGCACAGGAGGACCCCAACTGAGAGCTCACCCGGGGCCAGGGCCCARAGCAGAGCCAGCTGCTGTAGACCCCTTAATTTACAGGAGAAAATAAGAGGCTGTGTGTGTGGGGGGGTGGTCTATGAATTGAGCAAATGGCTAAGTGATTTTTTTCCCTATTCTTTTTGGATACACATGACAGTAGTGCATTTTGACACATCAAACATACTCCATGTATGTATCACATCATACATACATGGAGTGGGACTTCCCATTCTTGTGGTTGTACATGATGTGGAGTTCCACGGGTCGTGTTTTCATATATGATCACAGGAGAGTTTCCAGTTCGTTCTACCGTCCTCCCGGTGCCCATCCCCCTCCCTTTCCTTCATTCCCCTTCGTTTGCTCCAAAGTCCTCTGTTTTCCACCCCCCCSCCTTATTGGAGTCAGCATCCACATATCAGAGAGACCATTCGGCCTTTGATTTTGGGGGACTGGCTTATTTCACTCAGAATGATACTCTACAGTTCCATCCAATTACCAGCAAGTGCCATAATTCCATTCTTCTTTTTGGCTGGGTAATATTCCACTATGTATATGTGCCACATTTTCTTTATCAAATGGCTTAAGTTTCCTGAGCCCCATTTTAGTCACTTTGAAATGGGGGCATGGAACTCCCACCCAGARGTGCTATTTCTATGATATGGGAGGAGGACATAGATGATAGATGGATGGATGGGTAGATGGATTCTTTTAATTTAATTGAGTTGAAATTCTTATCTTATAAAATTTTTCTAAGTTCATGAGGCGGGTGTCCAGGGCACATGTGCAGATGGGRTGGTCCAGATGGTGAGGGACAGTCCCAGGAAAACACAAGTGTGTTTCTAGGGCACGTTGGGGCAGGCGTATGTCGTGACCACTTTGACAAAAGATGCAGGGAGGGTGGCTCAGTGGTAGAGCTTGCGCCTAGCATGCCTGAGGCCCTGGGTTCAAAATCAAAAAGAACAAAGGGGGTGGTCCTCTCTTCAGAAAGTTTGAATAAACACAGCTGAAATGACAGAGGTGGTTTTCCTTGGGATTCTTATTAGCCTGTCCGTGTGCTCTGCTGATATCATCTTGCCATAATCCTGTGCCGGGGGCTCAGATAGTGAAACTGAGGCTAGGAGGGGCCTTAGTTCCGGGTCCCCAAGAAGCAGAATTCAGACAGGGATTTGAGAGCCAGCGGTCTCCTGGGGAGGTGGCCCCACGAGYGGCCGAGGGCACAGCAGTTATCCTGCCTGCTCCTCAGGGCCGCTGGATGAGAGTCTTGTTGGGGAGCCCTGGGGGCCAGCATGGGACAGACGTCTCAGGTTCCCCTGCATGGGGGGCCGGAGCTCTGGCCGTTCAACTCCTGACATCCTGGTCGAAGGCTGCCAGGTTGAGGGCTCCCGTTCAGCCCCTGCTCTGGGCCCTGAGTGTGGACTGACTCAGCCATCGAGGGCCTTGGGGCAAAGGGATGCAGATCTGGCCACTGGGCAGTGGGGGGCATGGGGGGGCCACCCACTGGCCTCCAGCCGGGAGCACAGTAGCCTGCCCTGGCACCTGGCTAATGAGAGAAGCCGGCTGAGGTGTGAGCCCAGTTACAGCGAGGACGCAGCCCAGCCCTGCTCCCGGGAGCAGCAGGAAAGACAGAAACAYAGCTGGGCTCTGCGTCCCCGGCTCTGCGTCCCCAGGTCTGCGTCCCCGGCTCTGTATCCCCGGCTCTGGGTCTGCAGATTCAGCCCAGTGTGGATGGCAAACAGGGGCATGGGCGGCACCAGACCCACACAGCACAGCAGGGTGAGTTGGCACGGTATTTGCACCGTATCAGAGGTCCTACATGCTCCAGAAAGGACTTAAAGTGTCCAGGAGGACGTGCACAGTTATGTGCAAATACAGTCTTGTGTCACCTGGTGACGGGGATATGTTCTGAGAAATGTCTTGGGGCTACTTGGTCATTGTCCTGCCAACACGACGGTGTGTTCTTGCACAGACCAAGAGGGCCGTTGGCAGTCTTATTTGGTCCTCACAGCAGTTTCCAGCAGGCAGTGTAATTAGTGTCCCGGTTTCCAAATGAGGAAACGGAGGCACAGAGATTTCGAGTCGCTGACTTGCGGCCACTCAGCTCTTACAACAGGGGCCAGGAAAGCCTTTGCTGCATAATATGTCTCCCTCAGAGTGGGGACAGTCCATCACTGGGTGACTTCATCAGTTTGAAAGGTGGTCCCCATGCTGTGATAGCTCTCAGGGGCCACCTGGGTCCACCCCTTGCAGGACCAGAGAGAGGACGTGCTCTGCCATGTCTGCAGCCGGTGCTCGGAGGCTGAGGAGCCAGGTCTCTTGTCCCCAGAATCTGGGGACCTTGACCGCATCCCATGGCCTTCCCCAGTCCCCCCACCCCCACCCCCACCCCCACCCCCCCGCGCTCCTTTCTGCCTGGTCTCTGATAAGGTGTGGAACATCGTTGTTTGTCTTTTGTGAATTCAGCAACAAGATAATCAAAAAGTTGCCTTTATTTATGCTGCAGATGGCTTTTCAAATTGTGGAGTCATTTTAGAGTGACAGAGAAGTTGCAAAGACGGTACAGAGAGTTCCAGATACCTGGCACCCTTGGCCTCTGCCCTTGGCCACAGCCGTCCCGCGAGCCCAGTCCATCAGTGCTGAGCCGGGCCCTCCTTCAGGTCCCCACTCTCATCCAGTGTCTGTCTGTCCCAGGTCCCACCCAGGACACCACAGGTTCCTCTCCCTGTGACAGTTTCTCGGACTTTGTTTTCCATGGGACTGGCCGGGTATTGGTGGAGGTCCCTCCGTTGGGGTTTGTCTAGAGGCTGGACCAGGCTTGGGGTTGGGGAGGAGGGCCACAGAGGTCAAGGTCATTCGCATTGTCTCTTCAAGGGCACAAACTGTCGGCAGGACCTCCCCTGGAGATGCCGACCTTGACCACCTGCCGAGGCCTGTGCCAGGCTCCACTTCAGAGGACCTCCCATCCCCCTCCTCTTCTGATGAGGTCCCTATGCCCCATCCTCTCCTGAGGACAGATAGACTCTGCCTCCTTGACCCAGATCTGCGGGTGTCACCCTTCTGCAGAGACCGCTCGTCCCCTGCCTCTGTTTAATCATCACTCACATCCACACGGGGACATGGATTCCTATTTTATACTCTGGGTCACCACACGGTTCCACTGTGGTTAATTTGTCGCTCAGGTTGTTCCAGCTCTGGCCACTGGGAATCCTTCTGTTGGTTCCCGTGTCTGCTTGACACCTGCGTTACTCTGTGTGTGTGTCCGGGTGTCTGTCTGTCTTGTCTGTTGGAGCCCTTCCTTACTGTCCAGCCAGAAAAGAGGCCACAGCCTCCCCTGGTACGAGCCTCGCCTCAGTCCTGGGGCCAGCATTTCCCTAAGAGCCCGGCCTCCCTTTATCAGAGAAGGAGCCTGGACACCAAGCCCAGGGCGTGTGTTCGCTGCTGCCGGAGCGTCAGGGCTCCCAGGCCGGAGRGGGCTTTGACAAGGGAGACCTCCTGTGAGCTGCCTGTGGTTCCCGGGGCTGGTTCAGGGGTGGCAGGAGCCCAGGCTGTGATATGGATCACCTCGTAGGTGGCCGGGCACCTCCCCAGGCAGGGTCCAGGGACACTCAACCCATTCACTATTGGCTTGGCCAAAACCCGCGGACGCCCTCCTGCCCCTTCTGATGACAGGGAATGGCTGTCCTCAGCTGTTCCGAGGCCACAACGGCAGAGGCCGCCGAGCTGGGAGGAGCCTCTGTGGGCTGAGCCCGGTCTCCCAGTTCTCCTAGAGCCTGTGGGTCAGGTCCTGATCTCTGCTCCACAGCTGGAATCTCAGCTCTGCCACCCGAGGGCCCGTCCGGAGCAGCGTGGCTGATTGAACCCACCGTGGATCACCTTCAAGGGCCTTAAACACAGCCCTGTCCCCACCATCCTGGAAGTGCCAGGTTCTCTGGTTTGGAGAGGGGCCTTGGCCACCGGTGGGTTAGGTCCAAAAACACGCCGATGGCTGAGCAATGCTGCCTGCGCCAGGTGTGGTGTGGCACGCGTCACGGCAGAGGTGGGCCTCGGTTTCCCCGGATATAAAACAGAAGCGCCAGGCCCTGGCCCTTCCTTCCTCCCAGTCCCTGGACGTGTACACGCCCCCAGCTCAGTCGGGGCCAGGACCKGGACACGAGGCCCTTTGCCGCAGGTTTGCCCACCCACGTCCCCTGTGTCCAGGAGGGACTCTGGCCACTGGACCGGCCTCCCGTCATGACAGCCTCTGCAGCTGTGGCCTCAGAAGAACCRGCCACTTCTGTTCCTGCCCTCATGGGCATGATTGGAAAATTTCCCCTCGCAACTGGAAAATAATCCTAAAATAACGAGAATGGAAAAGCAGACAGATGCGGCCTGGCAGCCAGCAACAACAGAAAAATGGCCACGCATGGGATCCGGCTCCGGTCCAGGGCTGGGGGCGCAGCCCAGTGGCTGAGCAGCTCTTGCCTATGTGTGCTCCGTCCCAGCACCAGCCACGCTACCCGAGGCACACGGGGTGGACACCCAGGCCAGCTGTGCCAGCCTCCTGGAGTGCATGAAGGTGTCAGGAAACTAACTCTGGCAAGTCTTTGGACCCTGGGGAAAACCCCAGGGGCACTGAAGGCTGGTAGAGCATTTCACAGAAGGAAGGAGTTCTGGGGTCCTTCACCTACCCCTAACTACAGACTGGAAAAGTCAGCCCAGAGAGGGCAAGCGACCTGCCAAAGGCTGCAGAGCAGACTCGCACCAAAACCAGGAAGGACACAAGT